TTAAACAATTTGCTTTAAATCATAAAAAACATCAACTAAGAAAAAAAATACATATCAAAAATGAAGTCTTGGTAAAAAGACAACAATTAGAATCATCCAACAATACAAATAACACAAAAGAAGGTTCCCAAACTAGATTATTTCTGATCTTTTCATCGACATGTGGTTATCTTGAGTCAGGTGTCTGAAATTTTGTTGTCCTTTAGGTATCATTAGCTAGCCTGACGTAGTCCTTCTCAATTCTAGTCAGAATATGAGTCTGATACTGCTCCATAGAGCTGTGATTATGGGGCGTGTTTCGAATGAACCAGGAAAAAAAATGCCTCTGCACTCAATTGGATAGACCTACAACCAATAAGAGCAACGGAGTGCGTGACGTATGTTAAGCGATGCATAGTTGTTGTCAACAAAAATCAAAGCGTGCAGTTGCACGCCTAGAATAAGAAGATGAGCCTTGATCGCGTTTCTCTGTTCCTCTTTTAAAATTAATTTGCTGTCGATATCTTCTAGAACAGACCTAATAGCAGAATCTACTCACCTCAACTCTCTGACGGCAGCCATTGTTGTTGTCACCCAAGCGCGCTTTGGTCACGTGGTTGATTACGTTACTGTTGATCATCTGTCCATCATCGTATAAAGCTCGACCTGACAATTTGATTGGATCGCCAGAGGGGGGGCGATCATACTCCCGTTACTATGGAGCAATGCCAGACCGAACTTCCCGACCTCAAACGTTGTGGGCGGGACTAAGTTCGGAATGGCACCCAGGCTAATCATTAGCCCTATGCAGGTATATAGCAATCAAATCTAATGTAGCTAGAAATAACTATGTCAAAACTTTATTAAAAAAAATGTCTTTTTCTCATCCTGTCACCAATAATGAAGCACCTTGTAAATCATGTATTCAGTTTAGATGGGTTCAAGTAATAATATATTATCAAATTACTATTAAAATAGTAAAAACCATTTTTATAGTAATATCCACCTGTATATTATATTTGGTACATATCCAGCTGTAAATTTAGTTGATAACACTAGTTATCTATATATTATATTAATCTATTAGTAAGATTCTGTTTATAATGGTATTCATCTCTATACTTATTCAGTAGAAACCCAAGTCCTGTATTTATAGAAACATTATTTATCCTGCACTTGCTGCTATTGCACTTCTAGTTAGACCTAAACTGCATTTCGTTGCCTTGTACCTGTACCTGTGCAATGACACTGAAGTTGACTCTACGTAATCTAATCTAATATCAAAGTGCAGGATGCCACATGCTGAGAAGTAGTATTGTTTATATACCTCTGTTCGATATTATTGGACACTTTTGGTTGCATCTTCATTTCATTAGAACATTAGCTACGTATATAATCCTTACTGTAGGTATTTCTCTATGCACTGCATTTCAGTTAGCTGTAAAGCCAATGTGCCACTTTTCCAATTGCAAGACGTTGAAGGACAAAAAATCACCAGTTGACTGCAAAAATAGTTACTGATTATTTTTAAGAGTGAAACAGACTGAAAATAGAAACTAATTCAGGTTTAATTATAGCAGGTGATGCATGTTGTCCTATTTGTTAGAGATTATGGATAATTATTAATTATTTCCTCCTAAAATAAACTCGAGACTTAAATCTTCCAACTGCAATAAAAATCCATCATTAATTCGTGCTACTATTTGGATCGTTATTCTGCATTCCCACTGTTTGGTCATCAGGTGGGACCGTATGACGGGACACATTAACATCCAACAAAGCGACTTCTATGCAGCTGTAGGACCAACACCCACACATATAACTTTTGAAACGCTGTCCACTGTGGTGCCCACAATGCGTGAAAATGTACTTAAAGGCCTGACCCAAATTCATAGTAACGAGAATTATTCCTGACAACTGAGATCATACAAATAGCTCTCCCTTCTCGAGCCTACACTCATTTTATCTGTCCCATTTGGAGCACTTATTAGCGATTGTTTCCACTGTGTTGGCTACTCCTATGGCTGTAATAATCTTTCTGCCTTGGGCATGCTGAAGTTTTACATGATGTTGAAATGTTTGCAGAGAAGTAAAGCCATAGAGTCAGGGAAGGGAAAACTACAGTCATAAAAATCATCGCCCAAGAGGGAGACCTTTAGTAAACTATAATATCAATAATAAACAATGTTGGCTATTAGCTCTCAGAGGTAAAATCCCAATGCAAGTCAGGTTTTTAATAGAGATGGGTCTTAAAAATATTTAACAGCACAGCCACATCGTTATGTTGGCGCCCAGGTTGCACTGTCACAGAAAAGAATGGCCCAGAAATAGCCAAGTAGTTTTATTGAGCGGATATTAATTGATTTGTCCTGACCTACCCAGACCTGGCCTCCCTGGGCTCAACTTCCTCAGCAAAGCTGTGCCAAAGCTCTGTCCTAACTCTGCATAAAAATAAATGAGAAGCCGTGGGGTTGTAGTCTTTAAAGCCAGGGGATATTGTTCGATTTCAAGTCAGCCCTCCAGGAGGCAATTTAAACAACCCAGCATGCTAATAACCCCCTGTATAAAAGGCAATTCTGGAGGGGAGCCCATTCTTCTTTTAGCACTTCTTTTTTTTTTTCCTCTTGCAACAAGGACAAAAGGGGAAAAACAATTTAAAGATGTTCAATCTAGACTAGATCCTAAATAGCACACTCCTATGTTATGCTTCGTGTATTTCAAATCATTCTTTGTACATTAAGAATGACTAAAAATGATTTTTAAATCAGTACAACTGCAGAAGTGCTCTGAGCCTGGGATCTGAGAAGGCAGAGACTCACAAATAACTGCATATTCCAATAAAGCCACAGTATTTGTTGTGGCCACAGAAATACGATATTGTTCATTCTGTCTGTGTGCCTTGAACCCACAGGGCAGGTGGTAGCAGATCACAGACTTCTCGGTGACTCAGAGGCTAAACTAATCATGCACGACTCTCTCACACGGCCCAACCACTGCCCTCCCAAATCTACACCAGCTTGGCATGCAGTCATATCACAGAACAGTTCAAATGGACGAGCTGCTAGGTTTTTCCTTCTTCTTCTAGGTGGAACTTCTGTTTAGGTGTCCAGGCCACAAATGCTAACTAATCTTAAAGATTAAAGGGGATCATCATATATAAGTAGACAAAAAAGAAATCTGAACATCTTAAAAATTATATCTTAGATCTATCATTTGCCCTCATAATGCAGCTCAACAGCACTTCAACATACAGCCTATAACCCACTATGGCAAATCACTTATCTAGATGTTCCAGACATTGAGAAATATTGTTAATAATTTCATACAATGGGACACTTTAACATTTACTTCTTAACATATTGAATTCAAGATGCCTGTATAGAAACTGCAATCATGCATCTTAGTAATTGAGTATTTAAAGGACAAATGTCTAAATGAAGAAGAATAAAACAGCATGCTACAAGTTGTTTAACACTGCCCCCTACTGATGTACAAAAACTACTACATTTCATTATCCAGGTGTCATTCTTGTGTGCTGTACAGGATATTGATTTGCAGTTTAAAGCACAAGACACCTTATCGTTTTAATGTGCATTTTAGTTCAGTAAGAGCTTATTTTATTTTATGTTCTACAAAGTGTTCCCCTTTACAATATAAAGCATTCTGACTTGAATTAAGCCAATAAATCGACAAGTGAAACATAAATTAAAATATCTCGTACATTATGCCAAGTGTTTTTTCATGCCATAATGTGAACTGAAAGAACTCATCCAAGGGAGCCTTTACCAATGCCAAGTGCATAGCGCACTGTAAGTGGACATCTTAAAGAAGCTAACTTTTCTGTGATAAAGAATAATAATGAACTTAAATATTTTCTTTGCATACAATCCTTTGTCTTAAAAACGACTTAAAAAACATTAAATGAATTATAGGCATTTAAGAAAGTGTTGATTCCAAGCATCCTAAAGCAGGGGTAGGCAACATCGGTCCTAGAGTGCCACTGTCCTGTAGCTTTTGCATGCATCCCTTCTTCCTTCAGCACATCTGAATCAGATGAAAGGTTAATGGCAAGGCCTCTGCTAAACTTGCTGACATCCCAAGGAGGTAATTTGACTTTTTGTTGCAGGTTGGAGCTAACCTGACAACAGCCAGATGCATGTGAGTGGAGCTAGGCGGAGCGAGACATGCATCTGGCTGTTGTCAGGTTAGGTTGGAGCAGGGATGCATGCAAAAACTTCAGGACACTGGCACTCCAGGACCACCTAACCCTGGCTTAGACCCAACTGTAGTTTTATTATTTGAATTCAGTTCTGGAAAGAGATAACTTCTCAATTATATTTAAATTTATTGAAAAAAGAAAACTTTACACATGTTAAACAAAGTGATGTTAAACAAAGTGTGATCCTCACAATAAATTTGTATAAAATCATTAATCTTTAAACAAAAATTAAAGAAGGAAAAAACATTCAGCCACTTTCACATGTACAGAGAGGTATCATGCTACAGAATACAGATATGATTGGCTGCTTAATATACAGGTTTATTATGACGTTAGAAAAACGTTTTTACTGATAAATATACAAAATGCTAATTAGGCTTTCAAAATAAGATATTAAAATGTACAGGTAATAACCACAAACATGAAAGAAAAATGTAAAATGCAACTAAATACAACTAATTAATCTCATGTTTATCAGAAGATTTCATTTTTAAAACAACTATCCTTTTCTAAATTATTAGGTCTATATATTAATAAAGGAAGTATCAATGAATTGTAAACTATTTAACAGCAATAAAAATATTCCATGATTCAAACTTGTATCAGTATGAAAATTAGACTTTATATCTTTTGTATCTTATCCATTTTTATCCAATGGTCAAAATACACAGGTTCTTCCAATAGGTGGAGCTGTTTAAAGAAGTGGAACAAGGTATAAAATCATGATACTTTGTTGAAAAAAATAATAATATATAGGGTTTTATATATATATATATATATATATATACATACATACATACATACATACATACATACATACACACAGACATACAAGTGTCCTGAAATGTAGAAAGTAAAAGAATGTAGCTATCATAAAGTTCCTGTAGTTGTGTATTATCAATTATTTTAAAGCTACAGTTAATTATTGTTTACTTGCTTCAGTTAATTTTTGTTCACTTGCTTTATCAAATATGTGTCATGTAGCACCTTGCAAGAGAATTAATTTCTTTTGATCCTCAGCAGGACATGGTCCTGGTTTGATGGAGTAAAAGCTGCAAGAATCTGCAGACCTCATGAAATTAGACAGAGGTTCACCTTACAAGAGGATAAAGTTCCTAAAAGTTCAGCCACAGATTCAACTAAATTGTTTAAATAAAACATTTGTGTCGCTAGGCTAAAAATCTAATTTAGCAGACTTTAATATTTACCTACACAAATGCTCTTCATCCAGGGTAACTGAACTTGTGAAACAGAACAAATGGTACGATAAATAAAGCCATCAAGAAGCTAAAGCCATACGAATGCCACAATCTGATTTTCCTTTTGAAAAGCAAACAATTATTTTCCTTTTACCTCGAAAATAATGATAAAAATATGCACTTTTATGTTCTAATGCATCACTAATAAAAGCCCAATAAAACACTGTGAAGCTGGTGGTTGTTACAAAACTTTCTATGGTTATGAACACTGCTTAAAAAATCTACAAAAAGAAGAAAACCCAAGTGATGGAACACTCATCTCTCTTTAGCTCAGAGTAAAATAAGTATTCTTGTGTACTATCTCTGAATAAAAGTTCTCATTCCATTCTATTTTGGGCTTTTTTTTGCCCCTTTCATCGACTCCTTTAGTGCTTGGTTGTTGTATTGTACCCATTTATTTTTAATCTTGTATAAAATGCAGCATCCAACAGGGGCCAAGTGAACAATATGTCCACCTTTATTCTCATTTAAATTCTGGTTTTATATTTTTTATCTTCTAAGTGAGTCCCTTTATTCACCAGATTATAATTCAATGCCCAGTCTTGTCCCTCTGAAACGGCAATTCAGTCCTGAAAATCTTACAATAAAGTGTTGATTTCTGGGCCTTCAAAAAGTTCAGGGATGTGTATTCCACTGTTGTATATGCTCTATATGATGCTAATCAGTCATTTTTCAGGGTTTTTTAACTTCTGTGGATTAGTCATCATCACTTTCAGAGGTTGATGTTGTACCATGTTTCTCCTCTTCCTTCACTTCCTTATCTGGAACAGAGAGGAACAGTTCTGTTTAAACTCATCTGCTAAGAAAATGCCAATACATCAGTTTATTGACAGTATTCCAACAAAAAATGATCTAAATGGGCTTTTTAAAAGGAAACAAAGCGAAAAAAATAATTAAACCTTCTTCCAACCAAAGCAATGGAGCCCATTAAATGTAATAAAATTTTAATTAATCTTCCAGGTTACGACATGCCTGTGTATATACAATTTAATCTGTTAAAGCTGATCAATGTTAGTCATTCCCGAAAAGGCAAAGCTTATTCATTATGAGTTTTTCCTTCTCTGAATCAAGAAACACCAGAATCATGAAAAAAATAATAATGAAACTGCTGATGCCGAACCTATTGTGTTGGGTTCCATATTTTACTAAGGGACACATAATCTGATCTCAGAACTTTTGAGCATTGGAGTAAAGAACATAACAAAAATAAAGTTACTTTTGGTTTACAGTTTATGTTCAATTGCATGGATTCAATTTGAAAAAAAAAAAAAACACAGTGATGGTTTAAAAAAAATGGTTTTAAGCAATTACTCAAAAGAGGAATGTTCACCTTTTAAAATAAAGTATAAATGATAGATTACCGTTAAATAAATAAATTGAAAGATTTAGTCATTTATTTAAAGTATGTACCAGGTTTTTTTTAAATGTATCGTACAAGGTTCAGTTATAAATCAAGGGAGTGAAACATAGTGTTGTCTCTGCATCACCGTTACTGAGTGCTCGAGACTTACAGTACACTAAGACAACTTTTATTGTGATTTTGTATACACAGAGTGTATATAAATTTTGTTGAAACTTTGTTTAGTACAGTTTTTAGAGAGTAAATTAACATTTCCATTTCATAAAGTGCAGCAGTGTTCAAATGTAAGCAGTATGGGAGAAAAAAAAACACACATGGAAGTTCATAGCATTAATATATATGGTGCAAATATGGAGTATTTTTGGTTCGGTGTTATCAGTGTGATGTTTATGAAATGATTTAAGAGTTTTAAAATGCCCCCACCTTCTTTTTTCAGTGCCCAGAAGTGGTCAAAATATGTTAAAAGAGATTAATCAGGCAGCAGATCATGGAGCAAATGCCAATCACACAATAAGCTAGTGATAAAAGTAGACGTCAGACCAAAACAACTCCTATGGATTTTAAATAGTTCAATCCAGATATATAGTTGGGATCCATATATAGTTACATTCTGCAATGGGTGAATGCATTGAATTCAGGGAGGCTAAGTTTGCTGCCTATTGGTATATTTAGTGTTTAATCCATATGATTTGATTATCTACATTTATATATGCAGCTCAGTTACTGATGTAATGGAATGGATGGAATTTCTAATATAAAAAAATTGATTATCAAAACAAGGATTCTGAGTAAATCTAGTAATCTAGTGAATTATTTTGAAAATCCAGATTCTGTGATCACTCCAGAACCAGGTATTTATTTCACCTGCTTGCCACTGTCCTTGACCACCATTCAGAGGCTATTTAAGTCCTCTTATTGTTTATAGTAGTTGCATATTTGCATTGCAGTGTTTGCAGCTAAATGGAACTGAGTCTGAGGCAGTTGAAAATGGGGCTAAGGATCTAAAACGGAAGCATTAAAGAACAAATAAGTGCGACACATTTGAAGAATAATAAAAGGCTGTTTCTCAGTATGTCTGCTTGTGGGTTCTCATGTGCTCGTGGAACATCATGAGCCTGTGCCCTAGTACTGTTCCAATTCACAAGACCAAGAACGAACAAAGTTCCTGGATGCTGCTCTCGCCCCTCCCTCTTTACCGAGTGTCACTATCCGATCCGCTCTGAAAGCACGATCCCTACCATCGGCTCATTTTCGCATACGCAACCAGTTATAAAAAAAAAAAATACATTAATCATCATTTTATTAAAAAAATTAGCCCCTTTTATTTTATTAAGTCATCCAGCTATGACTTCCCATAACCTTACTATTCATGGGTTTTACCGTCCTTTCATCAATACCAGGTGGACCAGTCTGCTCAAAAGCCACAAATTGCTCCCAGTCCAGCCCTGATTCAATCCCAGGAACTTTAAATTTATCAAACAGATCTATTTAATCTGTAATATTATTTAAACCCAATTTTAAAATATTAGATATCTAGTGATTTGTTTCCTTCTAGGTTGTTGAAGAAATTAGACTTAATTTTAACTTGATTTCAAGCCTGTTACAGTAAACCTTTTTACTCGCCACACCGTTATACTTTTCTTAAAATAACACATATTAAATCAATGTTTTTTAAGAACAAGTAGAAAACATTAAGTCATTATCTAATATTTATCTTAAAGTTTACTTTCAGTTAAGTCACTACATTCTACTTGGCAGTCAAAACATTATTAACAACTCAGAATCCTATAAAATAAACGTATAAGCTCTTTTACACAAGGAAAAAAGGGGACAAACAACAAAAAAAACAAACACAATATTTTGTGGCATACTTTCTGGTGGCCTGAGAACCCAAAGCTCACAGAACCCGGGAAACAATCCCTTAAAAAGCACTGACTATATTTGAAAAAGTAATCTCCTAACTTCTATGCGGCCACAGCTGTGTGGTTGGTCCATCAATAGCTCTCCTTAAGTGATACAACTTCGTGAAAACCGGACGGAAATACCAATTGTTAAAAGATATTCAACCTTGATTTTATTTTTAAAAAAATACCAAAATTACGTTTTCCCTCCCTAAAACTAGTAAGCATACTAAACTATAATGTGTCAAAGGTTAATAATGTATTTACTGAGAAAATAAATGCATATAAATCCTCTCTGTTTTATCACTGGTATTTGCCAGAAATGGGATTGCTACTACATAACTAGTTGAGTGTTCTTTTTTCCTTTCGCGTTAACCTTATGGTATATACTGCATGATTTAAAGAAAGAAAACAACTAATATGCAGAGAAAATGTAAAAAACATCAAACTGTCTCAGAAAAGTCATAAAAATCGTTTTTAGAGATGCAGTGTGGCATTATTTATTGATTTAAAGATAAAAATAAGTACTTTTAGTACCAAAATTAAATTATCTACTTTTAACCTGGATGAATATCTGCTTTCATGTGCGCAAATTAGCTGATGGTACTAGGGTGGCCAGATGTCCGGCTTTAGGGCGGACAGTCCGGATTTTCATTGCACTGTCCGGCGTCCGGCGCTGCACCCAGCCGGACGTGTATTTGTCCTCCTTTACCCCACATACTCCGTCAGCGCTCCGCCCCGCTCACGTACGGAGTACTTGTCTGTCATGTAAATCAATGAGAGCTGTTCCACATCCTCCGCTCGTCACCGCCCACGTACGTCTTCTCTGTCCTTCACCGTCAAAATACGGAGCTGAGCTATTTTTTGCTCCCCTCCGGTCCGTCCAGATCAAGACCCGCTATTGCAATCGCACCAAACAGAAAAAAGAATGTAGAGAAGACCCGGTTTGTCAAATTAAATTATAGTAAAACAGATCGGTATCTAGAAATTAGAGCATAGTTTGTATATATTCCCAAAAACTAAGAGCAATTAATTAAATAATTGGATGCAGACTATTGGTGCTTCAACAGACCAGGAAGAAGTTGTGAGATTCTAGAGTGAATCTCACAACTTTAAAAGAAAATTCTTATTGCAGGAATGGATGAAGAGATGATGAGTTTGGAAGCAGAGAATAAACAGAGTTCATACAAACTATGTATGATCCTAGTTATCCCTGTTACAAAAATCCACAACAGAAAGAAAATATTTGGGCAGAAACTGAACATCTGCTGGATGATGATGGGGATTTTTTTAATATGTCAGATTAAATTAAGCGTTCACAGGTTTTATACAGGAATGAGGAACTCTAATTTAATGCTCTTTTAATGCTATTAGAAATAATTTTTATGCCATCAACAAGTATCATGTACACAAGTTATTAGTTTACATGAAATAAGGAGCTGTAAGCACAGTTCCATGACTCAAGTTTATATATATATATATATATATATATATAGATATGGATAGATAGAGAACATGGTGAAATCATCTTTACTCTCGACAGGCTGCAGCCATGTCATGAATTCCTCTTTTCCAGCCACTTTTTGCAGTTTGCATCGTCCTATTCTCTAGCTCTTTCTCGAGCTTCTTTTCCAAACAACTGCTTTATGATCAATTGCAGCAGTTCTGCGCAAATTAATCGTGTTAAAAAATGGTCACTTTTTAAACACCACAATGTATTAAATAAATACAAATGCTGGGAACCAATTCTTTTTTACATTTCTTTAATATTTTGTTCTATTCAGCTACACAAGCATCCTCTTTAAACTACTAAGAATTGTGCTATAAATGTAACTTTACCCGATTCTTATGTACACCTTAGTAATTTATTGATATGCCGCACAATGTCCTCCTTTTTGGTGCTATAGAAATGGCCACCCTAGATGGTACAAATTATGCTTCCGGTACAGATCGGATAGTGACACCGAGCATGCATCAGAGCAGACCTGTACGTACATTACATTAGTGTGTAATTTAAAAAAAGGGTTCAGATAATGTGGGGACCATGGCAACCAGCTGACCTTGGTGGCTAACCGCAGCCAGTGCAAATTTCAGCCCATCTGCAGCAGCCCATAGCCGTGTGTGAAGTACCACCGGCTCTGATGCCGATTTTTTTGTTTTATTTGGCAAAAAGTTCATTTGATTTGTGTTTATCTGACTGTACTAATATTCCCCCACTAAATGAAAAAAGTAAGTAATTTATTATTATCTAAAGACTCAATTCAATTATATCCTATCTTGCTGGCTATAGTTAAACAACAAAGAAAACATGTTTCATATCACAAGCAACAACAATTTAAAAGACTGTTCTTCTATCATCTCTTATTGACCAAAATCATTGTCAACCTGTTTATTAAGTACTGTAGTTATTTAGCTGGTTACAATGTACATACTACCGTCAAGGAAAACAAATCAACCAGATGCTACATTACTAATTCACAATTTTAATATAAAGAAGAGCAAAATGTTGCTTTATCTAAAGTCTGGCATACACTGCATGGCCTTTTTGCCCTTTATGGGCCGTTTTGGAACAGGCCACGTTTCAGCCTCATCGTTTGTCATGCATCCTTCAGTATAAAGGGAGTAACAAGGATGATTAGTCTCTCATGACCACCTCCCAATCGGCAATCATACAGTCAGATGAAATCAAACAGGTTTGAAATTCAGTTGGCTCTCTTGAAGGGATCATGAGCATATTCTGCTGTTGAAGCAAAGCTACAAGCTGATTTACAACAACCTCATGCACTGTACATGTAAACAAGGGAAATCTTTTGCTTTTATGACAGATTCATAGGAGGCTTCCAGATCAACGAGTAAGACAAGCACCAACATATATTGTGAGCTGTGGAATTTTAAATCCTACAGTTTTTGTTGTGCAGTTTGAGTTGTAGTTGAGCACAAAAACTGAAAATATCACACAGCCAACTATAAATGGCTCCCAACCTCTAACTGGCCCTATAAAGACGCACACCAGTATACCTTGCTCGCACTCCTCCATTTAGTTGCAAATCTATTATTGGCTAATGTGCTTCATAAAAACAGATTATGATAGTCAGACTGAAGCTGACAAACTAGAAAAAAAGCTTCCTACTCTGTTGCTTTAGTTAATAATTAAAGAAAATATTATGCAATATCGCCAGGGACAGACACTGCATAAGGCTGCTGCTAAATACTTTTGCACTGACCCAATCCTTAGTTGCATTTAGAAATAAATTTGGTCCTGATTTGAGTCTGATCGATGTTCGATTTTTGGTGAAAAAAATAATCTGTCCTCTCCCGCTTAGTCCTTGTCAGGGATTGCAGTGGGACCGGTGCCTATCTCCGGCAGTCTGAAATTCATAAGCTTTAGCAAATTATGAGGCAAATGGAAGCACACATTGGTACATTAATAATTAGCAAATAAGATCCAATAATTGTATGACTAAATCGTCATTATCATCAAGAAAAGGCAATAAACCAGATACAATTAGAAAACAATAAAAGAGGATAAAAGGAAAAAATACTTTCAAAGTTGAAGTTAAGAGTTTTATAGTCTAGTGTTTACGAAACATGAAAGTTTATCCTGGGTTGAATTCTATCAAGGGCAAGAACTGATAACAGCACAAATATCTTAAATACAAAAAAAAGAGAAACATCTGTAGCCTATATCATTCTTGAAAATACATTAACTTTATCTTGTTTTATTTATTCTTATTTATAACTTAATAAAACCGTATTCTTTTAGTTTTATCATATGCCTCAAAATTTTTAAAAATAGCTGCAGAAAGTCCTGTTGTGATTTATTGTTTTGATTTTTATTTGTGTCTATTTGGATCCTTTGGGGACTTGTTTGTGATTTTAGAATAAATAGGTTTTGCTCTTAAAACAGAAATAACCTTGCTTTGAAATGATAAATATTGCAGTGGTATCACAAAACTGTTTTCTGTTTTTTTTCATAGAATCACTTTTAATTTGGATATTTTAGGAATCCAAGGAGCTAAAGCACCTGTCACACCTTGACGATTTAGACAGTGTATGCCAGAAGTTGGACAAGTTATGGATACATTTTGTATAATTTATGAGCCTGTGAGTAGACTGATGCACGCTGGCACAAGTCACTGTATGGTAAGTACATTAAGCATGCTCAAAATTTCCCGAGGTATGCCAGCGTATGCTAAAACATGGGGCATAAGTTACAGGTGAGTTATCTGATCATTGACATTTGTTAAGTGTAAGTCACTGATAAAGGGCTGGTTATACTCCTGCAGCAGTGTGTTGTAGTGACTTTGACGCAGATATTTTAGATAAATGCCAAATTTTGAAGTGTGGTCTGTGTTATGTTATTCCACGCCACAACGCAGGAGGGACAATCACTAACTAGCTGTGGGTCTAGATATGGCCGAGGCGGTGGGGAATAGGCAGCAAGTTTGTTCGACAACGGAGGGACATGAGGGCAAAAAAGAGCTGGGATCCAGGTGGAAAAAAGTTCAGAGCGTTCTAGCGCACCTCGCTCTTCTAGCTGGTCCATTTTCACGAGTCTTTTTCCACAATGGCGATCATACAAATAAAACAAGTCGGTAAGGTACCAAACAGGAAATACGCATAGAGTAGAGCGGATGTAGATTCGACCAGAGGCCCCCTGTCTGCGGCACTGTCTGCGGTCACCTTAACTCGTGGTATCCAGCTTATTCAAAAATGTATTACTAAGAAGTGCATAACTTATGTGTAACTTATCAATGACTTATCTCCAATGCATATCAACCTATTTCACATGTTCCAGGTGACCGTTGAATGTGTTTCTAACTTACAGCTACTGTATAATGGCGTATTGGCAGACTTCGTCCCCATCATAGGGTGAGCAATAACAATAACAAATAACATGATACTGTTTAACCAAATTGTCTATAATTTATTTTTGACTCTGACTACTTTCAATTATTGTAGGTAAGGAAGACAAACCCTGGCCAGATAAGAACGAGGCTGATTATCATGCAATAAAGACGGTATGATGTCTTGTTCTCTCTTTGCAAAGATGCAATAAAATGCCGTCTGAGTAAAATTCATCAATCTCGGTTTATTTAACTGGAGTGAATAGTTAAATACTTTTTTTCCCACGACAGAGTGCAAACCGTCTTTCTTTTTTTTTTTTTTTTTTTTGGCAGGTGGTAAACAACAGCTGGGTTACTACCGCAATCAAGAATATGCTTGGCATTACGCTGCCATGCGTTATGCATAAGTTAGGTTTTTATTGAACGTACACCCAAAATTGGAAAAAATACATAAAAAGTTCAGCGTATGCCAGCTTTTAAGAAGATTCTGGGACGTCATATATATATACTGGCTAAATCGTCAAGGTGTGACAGGGGCTTAACTTTAGGTATCACAGATTTAGGTTTTCTTTGACCAAAATTCACCTTTGAGAAATGCCAATAGAAAAAGTTAAATATTGCAAGAAATTAGACTAAAAGGAAAAAGTAAACCTTTCTTAATATGTCATAAAAAAGAATATAATAAAATAATAATAATAATGTTCAGAAAGAGGAGTTTTGAAACTTTATTTAAAAATCTAGCTCATGTTTACTGACTCTGATTTTCTGACAGAGCAGCGACCTCGTTATTTGCATCCCCAGAGTCTTCGGGATCATTTGAACCTTGCTCCATATTACCTTCTTGGTTAATACGTCCATCTCCTGCCTCATTTTTGGAGAATCTACGAGCAAGTTCAGTCTTTGCAGGCACCTCTGGGCCAATTGGATTTCTCTCAGGACCTGTTAAACAGAAAATGAACAATGTGGTTAAACAAGAATTAGGACTTATTTAATCATTTTCCCCCAAAAATCTTGCTATCTCGACTTCCTGGTTTTTAAGGTATTTAAGGTAAGACATTACACTTTAAATCACTTGGTTATTTGCTCCAGTGTATGGAAACTTGTCTAATTTGCCTTTTGTTTATTTTGGAATTTAATTTGAAAAAAAAAAAAAAAAACATCTAGTGATAGTGTACTTCTAATCCCCATCAATGGGTCCACCCTCACCTCTTCCATTACCATCTGGTACCCTTCTGCCACCACCTGGGATGAAGGCAGGTCAATCATAATTCGAGCTCTTCATAGAAGGTGATTAGCTACAACCTTAACTCTATTTTTGAGCTGCATATTAATAAACTCTTATATTTTGAACAGAAGTTATGGTGAATTTATTCTTTTTATGTGCAGAATGATCTGTTTAACTATGATTTGAACTTTATTCACACTTTCATTTGTTGTTCTAACACACAGCCAGTAGGGCATGTGTTCATAAACAATATATGACAGCTCGAATAATATCTGATTATATACAATACTTACCACTCTTACTGGGTGGTATAAACTGTTTAAAAACTCCCTCTACTGTAAAATACTAACACCTGTGAAATATAAAATATGCAAACCTAATAACAATAAAAGAAACAGCCAGCTACTCCAGAAAGCTTATACTTGGTTACAAAAAAGAAAGACAACTTTAAACATAAGAGAATACTAAAAGACAAACAGCAGATCTAAGGATAAAGGACAATCTTTCTGGAAATTAATGTTATAACGCAGATATTTAAGTCATACATCAGATCAGAGAAGCTGGCAGGAGGCACAGATTTTAGTTTTACTCCAGGCTAACAAATTACTCCACAAAATGCTGACAAAATAAACATAATTTGTTGCAAGACATTAGACTTGATGTCAGTTAAAAATAAAAAGTTACAATTTCATTATATGTCGTAACATACATTTTTGTGTAAAACAAATAGCTGTTCAGAAAGAGGAGTTTTTAATAGAGTGTGTTAAACTGTTATCTAGCTCACATGTACTCACTCTGATCATCTGACACAGCAGCAACTTTGGCATTTGGTGTCCCAGAGTCTGCAGGATCATCCACATCTTTGTTCTTCTGCATTTTGGGGGAAACAACTCCAGCTGCTGCTTTTTGTGAATCATTTAATTTCTTAGCGAGATCAGCTACTGAAGTTCTTTCACCCTCATCCATATTTCTTTTAGGACCTGCAAAACAAAAAAATACCAATCTGATTATTACACTGACCACTCGGGTGATGAAGTCCAACAAGTTCATAAAGGATGAAGGAACCATGGCTCCTCATGATAGCCTGCTGCACCAGAGCCTGCAACCTCTGCTAAGATCCTGTTTGTGGACTTCAGCTCTGCAATCAATACCATCATCCCAGCCCTACAGTAAGACATAGTCTCCAAAGTAAGTGTGACTGACTCCCCTGCAGGTGGATCACAGACTTCCTGACAGACAGGAATCAGCATGTGAAGCTGGGAAAACAGGTCTCTGATTCCTGGACCATCAGCAGTGGTTACCCCCCAGGCTACGTTCTCTCCCATTGCTCTTCTTCCTGTTCACCACCAGCTGCACCTTCAGTCACCAGCTTGTTAACTGATGGGAGACTGACCATCAGTAGCTCCAAAAGTCAGAGGATTTAATTAAATGACCAAAGTAATTTAATTGAATCCTCATGTCTATTCGCTGCCACCTATTTCAAAGAGGGTAAAGAATCATTTAAATAAAGGTTATAAGTTCCTGATTAAGCCAATCATTCAATAAAACATTATTTGGCCAAATAATGTTTAATTCGCCAGATGGATTTGTGTTATGAATATGATCGAAAACAATCCACACTGTAATTTAGTGAAAAGCTAATTTGATCACATCCCAAATTCTTCAAGACAAACTTTACTTCTCAAACCCAAAATCCATGTCAAACTGTGATATGGTTTTCCACCATGTTTTCCCTTCCTCTTTGTTTATGGTAGTTTAGTTTAGATGAATATCACTGGTTTTTATTCAAGAGTATTTAAGTGAAATATGTTTGGTTTAGAGCTGAATGATTTTCGTTAATAAACTCTTATATTTTGAACAGAAGTTATGGTGAATTTATTCTTTTTATGTGCAGAATGATCTGTTTGACTATGATTTGAACTTTATTCACACTTTCATTTGTTGTTCTAACACACAGCCAGTAGGGCATGTGTTCATAAACAATATATGACAGCCCGAATAATATCTGATTATATACAATACTTACCACTCTTACTGGGTGGTATAAACTGTTTAAAAACTCCCTCTACTGTAAAATACTAACACCTGTGAAATATAAAATATGCAAACCTAATAACAATAAAAGAAACATCCAGCTACTCCAGAAAGCTTATACTTGGTTACAAAAAAGAAAGACAACTTTAAACATAAGAGAATACTAAAAGACAAACAGCAGATCTAAGGATAAAGGACAATCTTTCTGGAAATTAATGTTATAACGCAGATATTTAAGTCATACAGCAGATCAGAGAAGCTGGCAGGAGGCACAGATTTTAGTTTTACTCCAGGCTAACAAATTACTCCACAATATGCTGACAAAATAAACAGAATTTGTTGCAAGACATTAGACTTGATGTCAGTTAAAAATAAAAAGTTACAATTTCATTATATGTCGTAACATACATTTTTGTGTAAAACAAATAGCTGTTCAGAAAGAGGAGTTTTTAATAGAGTGTGTTAAACTGTTATCTAGCTCACATGTACTCACTCTGATCATCTGACACAGCAGCAACTTTGGCATTTGGTGTCCCAGAGTCTGCAGGATCATCCACATCTTTGTTCTTCTGCATTTTGGGGGAAACAACTCCAGCTGCTGCTTTTTGTGAATCATTTAATTTCTTAGCGAGATCAGCTACTGAAGTTCTTTCACCCTCATCCATATTTCTTTTAGGACCTGCAAAACAAAAAAATACCAATCTGATTATTACACTGACCACTCGGGTGATGAAGTCCAACAAGTTCATAAAGGATGAAGGAACCATGGCTCCTCATGATAGCCTGCTGCACCAGAGCCTGCAACCTCTGCTAAGATCCTGTTTGTGGACTTCAGCTCTGCAATCAATACCATCATCCCAGCCCTACAGTAAGACATAGTCTCCAAAGTAAGTGTGACTGACTCCCCTGCAGGTGGATCACAGACTTCCTGACAGACAGGAATCAGCATGTGAAGCTGGGAAAACAGGTCTCTGATTCCTGGACCATCAGCAGTGGTTACCCCCCAGGCTACGTTCTCTCCCATTGCTCTTCTTCCTGTTCACCACCAGCTGCACCTTCAGTCACCAGCTTGTTAACTGATGGGAGACTGACCATCAGTAGCTCCAAAAGTCAGAGGATTTCATTAAATGACCAAAGTAATTTAATTGAATCATCATGTCTATTCGCTGCCACCTATTTCAAAGAGGGTAAAGAATCATTTAAATAAAGGTTATAAGTTCCTGATTAAGCCAATCATTCAATAAAACATTATTTGGCCAAATAATGTTTAATTCGCCAGATGGATTTGTGTTATGAATATGATTGAAAACAATCCACACTCTAATTTAGTGAAAAACTAATTTGATCACATCCCAAATTCTTCAAGACAAACTTTACTTCTCAAACCCAAAATCCATGTCAAACTGTGATATGGTTTTCCACCATGTTTTCCCTTCCTCTTTGTTTATGGTAGTTTAGTTTAGATGAGTATCACTGGTTTTTCTTCAATAGTATTTAAGTGAAATATGTTTGGTTTAGAGCTGAATGATTTTCGTTAATAAACTCATATTTTGAACAGAAGTTATGGTGAATTTATTCTTTTTATGTGCAGAATGATCTGTTTGACTATGATTTGAACTTTAATCACACTTTCATTTGTTGTTCTAACACACAGCCAGTAGGGCATGTGTTCATAAACAATATATGACAGCCCGAATAATATCTGATTATATACAATACTTACCACTCTTACTGGGTGGTATAAACTGTTTAAAAACTCCCTCTACTGTAAAATACTAACACCTGTGAAATATAAAATATGCAAACCTAATAACAATAAAAGAAACAGCCAGCTACTCCAGAAAGCTTATACTTGGTTACAAAAAAGAAAGACAACTTTAAACATAAGAGAATACTAAAAGACAAACAGCAAATCTAAGTATAAAGGACAATCTTTCTGGAAATTAATGTTATAACGCAGATATTTAAGTCATACAGCAGATCAGAGAAGCTGGCAGGAGGCACAGATTTTAGTTTTAATCCAGGCTAACAAATTACTCCACAATATGCTGACAAAATAAACAGAATTTGTTGCAAGACATTAGACTTGATGTCAGTTAAAAATAAAAAGTTACAATTTCATTATATGTCGTAACATACATTTTTGTGTAAAACAAATAGCTGTTCAGAAAGAGGAGTTTTTAATAGAGTGTGTTAAACTGTTATCTAGCTCACATGTACTCACTCTGATCATCTGACACAGCAGCAACTTTGGCATTTGGTGTCCCAGAGTCTGCAGGATCATCCACATCTTTGTTCTTCTGCATTTTGGGGGAAACAACTCCAGCTGCTGCTTTTTGTGAATCATTTAATTTCTTAGCGAGATCAGCTACTGAAGTTCTTTCACCCTCATCCATATTTCTTTTAGGACCTGCAAAACAAAAAAATACCAATCTGATTATTACACTGACCACTCGGGTGATGAAGTCCAACAAGTTCATAAAGGATGAAGGAACCATGGCTCCTCATGATAGCCTGCTGCACCAGAGCCTGCAACCTCTGCTAAGATCCTGTTTGTGGACTTCAGCTCTGCAATCAATACCATCATCCCAGCCCTACAGTAAGACATATTCTCCCAAGTAAGTGTGACTGACTCCCCTGCAGGTGGATCACAGTTTTCCTGACAGACAGGAATCAGCATGTGAAGCTGGGAAAACAGGTCTCTGATTCCTGGACCATCAGCAGTGGTTACCCCCCAGGCTACGTTCTCTCCCATTGCTCTTCTTCCTGTTCACCACCAGCTGCACCTTCAGTCACCAGCTTGTTAACTGATGGGAGACTGACCATCAGTAGCTCCAAAAGTCAGAGGATTTCATTAAATGACCAAAGTAATTTAATTGAATCCTCATGTCTATTCTCTGCCACCTATTTCAAAGAGGGTAAAGAATCATTTAAATAAAGGTTATAAGTTCCTGATTAAGCCAATCATTCAATAAAACATTATTTGGCCAAATAATGTTTAATTCGCCAGATGGATTTGTGTTATGAATATGATTGAAAACAATCCACACTCTAATTTAGTGAAAAACTAATTTGATCACATCCCAAATTCTTCAAGACAAACTTTACTTCTCAAACCCAAAATCCATGTCAAACTGTGATATGGTTTTCCACCATGTTTTCCCTTCCTCTTTGTTTATGGTAGTTTAGTTTAGATGAGTATCACTGGTTTTTCTTCAATAGTATTTAAGTGAAATATGTTTGGTTTAGAGCTGAATGATTTTCGTTAATAAACTCTTATATTTTGAACAGAAGTTATGGTGAATTTATTCTTTTTATGTGCAGAATGATCTGTTTGACTATGATTTGAACTTTATTCACACTTTCATTTGTTGTTCTAACACACAGCCAGTAGGGCATGTGTTCATAAACAATATATGACAGCTCGAATAATATCTGATTATATACAATACTTACCACTCTTACTGGGTGGTATAAACTGTTTAAAAACTCCCTCTACTGTAAAATACTAACACCTGTGAAATATAAAATATGCAAACCTAATAACAATAAAAGAAACAGCCAGCTACTCCAGAAAGCTTATACTTGGTTACAAAAAAGAAAGACAACTTTAAACATAAGAGAATACTAAAAGACAAACAGCAAATCTAAGGATAAAGGACAATCTTTCTGGAAATTAATGTTATAACGCAGATATTTAAGTCATACAGCAGATCAGAGAAGCTGGCAGGAGGCACAGATTTTAGTTTTAATCCAGGCTAACAAATTACTCCACAATATGCTGACAAAATAAACAGAATTTGTTGCAAGACATTAGACTTGATGTCAGTTAAAAATAAAAAGTTACAATTTCATTATATGTCGTAACATACATTTTTGTGTAAAACAAATAGCTGTTCAGAAAGAGGAGTTTTTAATAGAGTGTGTTAAACTGTTATCTAGCTCACATGTACTCACTCTGATCATCTGACACAGCAGCAACTTTGGCATTTGGTGTCCCAGAGTCTGCAGGATCATCCACATCTTTGTTCTTCTGCATTTTGGGGGAAACAACTCCAGCTGCTGCTTTTTGTGAATCATTTAATTTCTTAGCGAGATCAGCTACTGAAGTTCTTTCACCCTCATCCATATTTCTTTTAGGACCTGCAAAACAAAAAAATACCAATCTGATTATTACACTGACCACTCGGGTGATGAAGTCCAACAAGTTCATAAAGGATGAAGGAACCATGGCTCCTCATGATAGCCTGCTGCACCAGAGCCTGCAACCTCTGCTAAGATCCTGTTTGTGGACTTCAGCTCTGCAATCAATACCATCATCCCAGCCCTACAGTAAGACATAGTCTCCAAAGTAAGTGTGACTGACTCCCCTGCAGGTGGATCACAGACTTCCTGACAGACAGGAATCAGCATGTGAAGCTGGGAAAACAGGTCTCTGATTCCTGGACCATCAGCAGTGGTTACCCCCCAGGCTACGTTCTCTCCCATTGCTCTTCTTCCTGTTCACCACCAGCTGCACCTTCAGTCACCAGCTTGTTAACTGATGGGAGACTGACCATCAGTAGCTCCAAAAGTCAGAGGATTTCATTAAATGACCAAAGTAATTTAATTGAATCATCATGTCTATTCGCTGCCACCTATTTCAAAGAGGGTAAAGAATCATTTAAATAAAGGTTATAAGTTCCTGATTAAGCCAATCACTCAATAAAACATTATTTGGCCAAATAATGTTTTATTCACCAGATGGATTTGTGTTATGAATTTGATTGAAAACAATCCACACTCTAATTTAGTGAAAAGCTAATTTGATCACATCCCAAATTCTTCAAGACAAACTTTACTTCTCAAACCCAAAATCCATGTCAAACTGTGATATGGTTTTCCACCATGTTTTCCCTTCCTCTTTGTTTATGGTAGTTTAGTTTAGATGAGTATCACTGGTTTTTCTTCAAGAGTATTTAAGTGAAATATGTTTGGTTTAGAGCTGAATGATTTTCGTTAATAAACTCTTATATTTTGAACAGAAGTTATGGTGAATTTATTCTTTTTATGTGCAGAATGATCTGTTTGACTATGATTTGAACTTTATTCACACTTTCATTTGTTGTTCTAACACACAGCCAGTAGGGCATGTGTTCATTAACAATATATGACAGCTCGAATAATATCTGATTATATACAATACTTACCACTCTTACTGGGTGGTATAAACTGTTTAAAAACTCCCTCTACTGTAAAATACTAACACCTGTGAAATATAAAATATGCAAACCTAATAACAATAAAAGAAACAGCCAGCTACTCCAGAAAGCTTATACTTGGTTACAAAAAAGAAAGACAACTTTAAACATAAGAGAATACTAAAAGACAAACAGCAGATCTAAGGATAAAGGACAATCTTTCTGGAAATTAATGTTATAACGCAGATATTTAAGTCATACAGCAGATCAGAGAAGCTGGCAGGAGGCACAGATTTTAGTTTTACTCCAGGCTAACAAATTACTCCACAAAATGCTGACAAAATAAACATAATTTGTTGCAAGACATTAGACTTGATGTCAGTTAAAAATAAAAAGTTACAATTTCATTATATGTCGTAACATACATTTTTGTGTAAAACAAATAGCTGTTCAGAAAGAGGAGTTTTTAATAGAGTGTGTTAAACTGTTATCTAGCTCACATGTACTCACTCTGATCATCTGACACAGCAGCAACTTTGGCATTTGGTGTCCCAGAGTCTGCAGGATCATCCACATCTTTGTTCTTCTGCATTTTGGGGGAAACAACTCCAGCTGCTGCTTTTTGTGAATCATTTAATTTCTTAGCGAGATCAGCTACTGAAGTTCTTTCACCCTCATCCATATTTCTTTTAGGACCTGCAAAACAAAAAAATACCAATCTGATTATTACACTGACCACTCGGGTGATGAAGTCCAACAAGTTCATAAAGGATGAAGGAACCATGGCTCCTCATGATAGCCTGCTGCACCAGAGCCTGCAACCTCTGCTAAGATCCTGTTTGTGGACTTCAGCTCTGCAATCAATACCATCATCCCAGCCCTACAGTAAGACATAGTCTCCAAAGTAAGTGTGACTGACTCCCCTGCAGGTGGATCACAGACTTCCTGACAGACAGGAATCAGCATGTGAAGCTGGGAAAACAGGTCTCTGATTCCTGGACCATCAGCAGTGGTTACCCCCCAGGCTACGTTCTCTCCCATTGCTCTTCTTCCTGTTCACCACCAGCTGCACCTTCAGTCACCAGCTTGTTAACTGATGGGAGACTGACCATCAGTAGCTCCAAAAGTCAGAGGATTTAATTAAATGACCAAAGTAATTTAATTGAATCCTCATGTCTATTCGCTGCCACCTATTTCAAAGAGGGTAAAGAATCATTTAACTAAAGGTTATAAGTTCCTGATTAAGCCAATCATTCAATAAAACATTATTTGGCCAAATAATGTTTAATTCGCCAGATGGATTTGTGTTATGAATATGATCGAAAACAATCCACACTGTAATTTAGTGAAAAGCTAATTTGATCACATCCCAAATTCTTCAAGACAAACTTTACTTCTCAAACCCAAAATCCATGTCAAACTGTGATATGGTTTTCCACCATGTTTTCCCTTCCTCTTTGTTTATGGTAGTTTAGTTTAGATGAGTATCACTGGTTTTTCTTCAATAGTATTTAAGTGAAATATGTTTAGTTTAGAGCTGAATGATTTTCGTTAATAAACTCTTATATTTTGAACAGAAGTTATGGTGAATTTATTCTTTTTATGTGCAGAATGATCTGTTTGACTATGATTTGAACTTTATTCACACTTTCATTTGTTGTTCTAACACACAGCCAGTAGGGCATGTGTTCATAAACAATATATGACAGCCCGAATAATATCTGATTATATACAATACTTACCACTCTTACTGGGTGGTATAAACTGTTTAAAAACTCCCTCTACTGTAAAATACTAACACCTGTGAAATATAAAATATGCAAACCTAATAACAATAAAAGAAACAGCCAGCTACTCCAGAAAGCTTATACTTGGTTACAAAAAAGAAAGACAACTTTAAACATAAGAGAATACTAAAAGACAAACAGCAAATCTAAGGATAAAGGACAATCTTTCTGGAAATTAATGTTATAAAGCAGATATTTAAATCATACAGCAGATCAGAGAAGCTGGCAGGAGGCACAGATTTTAGTTTTACTCCAGGCTAACAAATTACTCCACAATATGCTGACAAAATAAACAGAATTTGTTGCAAGACATTAGACTTGATGTCAGTTAAAAATAAAAAGTTACAATTTCATTATATGTCGTAACATACATTTTTGTGTAAAACAAATAGCTGTTCAGAAAGAGGAGTTTTTAATAAGAGTGTGTTAAACTGTTATCTAGCTCACATGTACTCACTCTGATCATCTGACACAGCAGCAACTTTGGCATCTGGTTTCCCAGAGTCTGCAGGATCATCCACATCTTTGTTCTTCTGCATTTTGGGGGAAACAACTCCAGCTCCTGCTTTTTGTGAATCATTTAATTTCTTAGCGAGATCAGCTACTGAAGTTCTTTCACCCTCATCCATATTTCTTTTAGGACCTGCAAAACAAAAAAATACCAATCTGATTATTACACTGACCACTCGGGTGATGAAGTCCAACAAGTTCATAAAGGATGAAGGAACCATGGCTCCTCATGAAAGCTGAGTTTCATTGGTTTTTATTCAATAGTATTTAACTGAAATATGTTTGATTTAGAGCTGAATGCTTTTCGTTAATAAACTCATATCTTGAACAGAAGCAAATATTAAAGTCATACAGGAGATCAGAGAAGCAGGCTGGACACACAGATTCTAGTTTTTCTCCAGGGCAACAAATTTTGCAACACAAAATGCTGAAAAAATAACCAGAACACTATACTTGATGTCAGTCTAATATAAAAAGTTACAATTTCATTCTATGTCATGTCATAAATTTAAGTAGAAAATAAATTGCCGTTCAGAAAGAGCAGTTTTTATAGTGCATTTTTATCTAATTCACATGTACTCACTCTGATCATCTGACACAGCAGGAACCTTATCATTTGGTCTCCCAGAGTCTGCAGGATCATCTAGATCTTGCTTCTCTTCAACTTCGGGGACAACAATTCCAGCTGGTGCTGTTTGTGGCTCAGTGAATTTCTGAGGGTGCTCACCAACTGTAGCTTTTTCATCCTCATCCAATTTCTTCTCAGGACCTGCTAAACAAAGAAAGACCAATCTGGTTAGACAAGACTTTGAATGGATACTATGTTGGCTGGGGTAAATCTCTGGTTAAGTCTGGTTAACTCAGTGTACTTCCAAACATAGATAAGAAAAATAAGTAGGACTGGTGTGGGACTGCTTTAGAGCTTTACAGCCTCCGCCTCTGCCTGCTCAACTGTGTCTACACCGACCTGGACAAGCCAGTGAGCACTGTGAGAGTCATGTTCTTTGACATCTTTAGTGCACTCAACACCATTATGCCGGCTCTACTGCGTAAAAAAACTGACAGCGATGCAGTTGGATGCTCCCATTGTGTCCTGGATTGTAGATTACCTGACTGGCAAACCACAGTATGTGCGCCTGCAGCACTGCAAGTCAGGAAAGATGATGAGCAGTACCAGGGGCCTGCAGGGGACTGTCCTCTCTCCCTTCCTCTTCAGCTAATGCACAGAGACCTGACACCTTCACAAGTTTTCTGAGGACTCTGTAGTAGTTGGATATATCAACAATGTTGAGGAGACGGGGGGTGTGGTGGACAACTTTGTGACCTGGTGTGATCAAAACCATCTGCAGCTCAACGTGGCACAGACCAAGGAACAGGTGGTGGATCTGAGAAGGATTAAGGCCCCACTGACCACTGTTTCTATCTGTGGGGTCAACATGGACACTGTGGAGGATTATACATACTTGGGGCTGCACTTGGACAATAAATTGGACTGGACTAACAACACAAATGACCTCTGAGGTAAGGGCAAGAGCCGGCTCTATTTTCTGAGGGACTGAGGTCATTCAACAACTACTGCACAATGTTGCAGAAGTTTTATGTGTGTGGTGGCCAGTCCCATCCTTTTTGCTGTTGCATGCTGGTGCAGCAGACTGAAGGTGAAGGATGCCAATAGACTTAAACTCATCCACAAGACCAGTTACATTGTTGGAGAGGACTCCCTGACAGAGGTGTCAGGGAGGAGAAAATCGGCCAGGATAAAATCTATGCTGGACAATTCTGCACATCATCTTCATGATGTGCTGGTTATCTACAGAAGCATCTTAAATCAGAGACTGAAAAGAAAAAAAAAAAGGTTGTACTTTCTAGAGCCACTGAAGAAGGGACCCCTCCCTGAACCGCCACCTTAACACTGTGGAGGGGTTTCGTGCCCGGATGATCCCAGAGGCTATGTTCTCGGGGCCCTAAATGGCCCTGGTAGCGTCTCCGAACGCAAACAGGCTATGTGTGATGGGTCAGAAAAAGCGCAGTTCAAAAAACCCCTATGAAGTCCCAGAGATCAAGGCACTTGTCTTCCTTCGGTATGGCAGAGCCTGGACCCCACTCTGGAACAACACCTGGGGTTTGTCAGCAAGTGCATGCTGGTCGGGTTCTTCATTGGGCCGAGCCCAAAGGAGTAGTGCAAGGCCATTCCCCAGAGTGCCTACCAGCTGCAGGAGAAACCACGAGAGACCCGTGCCGAGAGTATTGGGTGGCAGTTAGCAATGGGGCACTCAGCAAACTGATCCGCAGGCACTTAAACTGGCTATGGGGACGTGGAATATCACCTGGCTAGGGGGGGTGAAGGAGTCTGAGCTTATGCGGGAGGTGGAGCGATAAGTTAGTTGGGCTCTCCTCCACACATTGTCTGGGCTCTGGAACCCAAATCCTGGAGAGAGGCCGGACTCTGTTCTACAATGGAGTGGCCCATGGGGGGAAAGATGGAGGGAGGGATGGGCCTGCATTTCTACCCCCAGCTGAGTCGTCTAATGTTCGAGTTTACCCCAGTGGACGAGATGGTCCTATCCCTTCCCTTTAGGGTGGGGGGAGATCTCTGACCGTTGTTTTAGCCTATGGGCCGAACAGCAGTACCAGCCTTCTTAGTGTCCTTGGGGTCATATTAAAAATTATTACAAGTAACATTTGGATTACAGAGATCTGAAATAAATTTTTAGACACTAGAATAAAAAAAAAAAGTAAAAAAATAAATAAATAAATAAAACCACAAACTCAACACTATTCCTAAAATTTTGAATTAAAAAAAGCTTCCTGGATGGAAAGCGAAACGTCTTCAAACTCGAAAACAAAGTCCAGAATCTTCACTGACATCCAGAATGTTTATTTTAGATACGAGTAAAATTATCTCAGATAGCTGAAAAACATAATGGGTCAAGCAAATATATATTTGAAAGATTTGTAGATATCTGAAATGTAGTTCTTACTAATACAAATTTAATTATAGAGTACTTAAAATGTAATTTCTGATGGTAGAAATGTAATTAGTGATATCTAAAATAGAATTCTGACTAAGAAAAGAAAGAGGTGATTGTAACTAGGTAGAATGCTTTAGTGCTATCTCAAATAGAAATGTTACTAGTCAGCCTGTGTATTTTATGTTAAAACACAGGCGCATTATTGTTTTAAGTGTTAGTCATAATGTTTTTAATTATCTAAAACTGAAGGTTGTATAGGCATTATTAAAATTAAGTTATTCTAAATTCCAATTTAACTAGTCATTTATCAATAATTGGTATCTGTAATTATATTTCTACTAGTAGAAATATATTTTTGATGTAAATAATTGATTTCTAGATATCTATCTTTTTGATATCTGAAATAGTCATTTTAACTAGCAGTAAGTCTATTATTTAGGATCAGAATTTAGAGTTCATCCTCTTCAGAATTTGGTTTTAGATAGGAAGAATGTTATTTTAGATATCTGGAAGTAAAGGCCCAATTTACACGAATGGGAAATGTGACGTCATGTGTACCAGAATAAAATCTAAAATATTTTAAATGTTTATTTTAGATAGGAAAAATTTTATTTTAGATATCTGAAATATTCATGAAAGCAAAGAGAGGACAGGGCGTATAATAAGTGTCAAAATGGGCTGCCATTTGCCACCTTTGCCACTGAAGCAAATTCCTTTTATGTGTAAAACAGTACTTGAAAATAAAGGGCTTTCTGACTCTTAAATTCTGAAAATGCATATTTTACAAAGCTGCTATAACAACAAAAAGGCCAGAAGAAAGCTGTGCCACACCCAGAGGTCAGAAGGACACAAACAGTAGAAACACAGCTTCACTAAGTACAATGGCACAAAAGAAAGGCAACTTTAAATACAGGCGAAAACTGGGAGACAAGCACAAGATCTATGAAAATACAAAGGACAACCTTGGTGGTAATCAATGTTACAAAGAAGATATTACAGTCATATAGCAGATCAGAGTAGAAGCCTGGAGGCACAGATTCTAGTTTTTCTCTGTGCAATTTTTTTCAATTGTTGCACTCATCTGCTGCTCACACTGTACGACTAAACGCAGGGTTTTTAGTCGTACAGTGTGAGCAGCAGCTCACGATTTATGTTCGGCCCGACGCTCTGATGCTATTTGCCAAACAAATAGAAGGGGGATATTAAGCTCACTATAGTGAACCACACTGCCTTGGCAATTTGTGCAATTTTGTGCTGAGGGTCCTAGAAAGAAAGGGTGAAAAAGGACGTGGCTGAGCAGGGGTGGCTGCTGCGGTCTGTCAATTTTTCAGACGGAGCTGCATTTCACTCATTGCATCCCTGCCACGCTGCTTTTTTCTGAGAGGAAGAATAAAAAGGAGAATCCCTCTTTGCGCATGCGCCCAGAGCGATTTGCCCACGACGGTCGGGAGAACATCAAACATGTTTGGTATTCCTGATCGCGAGGTGGTCGTGAGAGGCTGAGCGCCCCTCTTAACCCCCTGTACTCTACACGACTCATGTGGTACGATCAGGCTGAAAGTCGTCCCAAACGAAAGATTGTCGCATGACTGGAAAATCGCCCCGAAAATTGCACAGTGTACACCGGGCTTAACAAAGGCTAACAAGGTTTGCTCCACAAAATGCTGACAAAATAAACAGAATTCATTAGAGTTAGTGTCAGTTTAATATAAAAAGTTACAATTTTACTATATGTCATATCATTCATTTATGTATAACATAAATTGCTGTTAAGAAATATTTTTCATAGTGCCCTTAAAACTTATTTAGCTCACATGTACTCACTCTGATCATCTGACACAGCAGGAACTTCGTCATTTGGTCTCCCAGAGTCTGCAGGATCATGCAGATCTTTCTTCTTATAAAATATGGGGGCAATAATTACAGGTCCTCCGCCTTGCTCATTGAATTTCTCAGTGAGCGCAGCAACTGTAGCTCTATTACCCTCATTCATATTTTTCACAGGAGCTGCAAAAAAAAAAAAAAAGACCAATGCGGTTAGACAAGACTTTGGATGGACACAATCATGGCAAGGGGATATTTGCACTACCAACATGGCTAATTTTTCATAATCCATTTAAATACAACTGAATGTTCTGTTGCATTTTGTACCATATTCATTTGTTTTGCACTGCACTGAACCTTTCCATATCAGTGCCTTTTATGTCTTTAAACTGGTTTTCCCTTTCTCCTACACACTGCACTCCATAAAGGGTAATAATAATGTCACTGTTGTTGTAAGCTGCTCATTTACTGTTGAAAGCTGTATGCATTGAACTTTCGTTCAATAAAGTTTGTCTAAGTGAAGCTCTTCCAAAAATACCTGCTAGAGTATCATCCAATCATAGCTATGGAAAACAGCAACTTTCAGATAAAGACTCCTTTCTATTATCAGAGTCTGCAGGATCACCCTCCTCCACCTCAGTATATTTTCCAAGCACTTCCAAGCCTCCATTTTAAATTTGTCATGTGTATGAGAATGATATGGATGAGGTGTTTTTGTAATTCACCAAACAATATATATAATATCTCTACCAGGTATTTTCTTTTCTTTCCTGGTTTTTACTTTAATTGTTTATTTGAAATAATTTACTATGAAAATGAATCTTTTCAAACATAATTCCATAATGAATCCAGCACTGTGATCCTGGAAAGACATTAATACACCCATCATGTTCAAACTTGAGTTTAAAGAAAAAAAATGAAAGTACAAAAAAAAAGTACCCACCCCAGATGAAAAACAGTCAGTGGGGACTAATTTACCTAAATAACAAAGATTGTATGCTGACTTTACAAATATTGAAACTCGTTTGATCAGGGAACAAGGGGGAGCAGTGCAGGCAGAAATAAGGAAGAAAATCAGGGATGGGAAGAAAAGCTGCAAAAAAAACAGATAGAGGTTTAGCTGCAGCAGAACAACATTAGAGGGATCTGGAAAAGCCTGAAGACAATAGCCCCATTTACACTACCCTTTTGAAACTGTGCCGAGATCGGTCAATGCACGGTAACTGAGATAACTGTTGACTGTAAATAATAATAATAATAATAAATTTTTTTCAAAGGCGCCTTTCTGGACACTCAAAGTCACTGTACAAAAGATAAAAACACAGTGGGAGAAACAAAGTCCAAACATAGAATAAAATCATTAAAAAAATATAAAGGCTGGGACAGGGAGATTAATATTAAAGAGAACAGGCCATTTTAAACAGATGAGTTTTGAGTTGTGATTTGTAATAGAGAAGTGAGTCTGTGTTTCCAAGCAAGGGTGGTAGAGAGTCCCAGAGGCGGGGGGCACAGCCGCTGAATGATTTGTTCCCCATGGTGTTGAGACGGGAAGAAGGGACAGACGGGTATAAAGCCGATGAGGATCTAAGAGGGGGTGGGAACATGCAGGAGGCCAGACAGATATGGGAGGGCAAGGTGGTGAAGGGTCTTGAATGTCACCATAAAAATTTCATATTGAATCCGGAGCTGCACAGGGAGGCAGTGGAGCTGTTGGAGAACAGGGGTTACGTTCTAGACCAGTTGTAGCTGGTCCAGAACTGCAACAGAACCCCGCACTGCAAACAGGGAACAGTGCTGGCACAGTTCCTCTTTAACCTCTACACTGCACACTTCTCCATGTACTCCCCATGCTGCCACCTCGAGCAGTTATCTGACGATTCTGCTATAAGGGGCCTCATGGCAGGAGGGGACGACTCAAATTACAAAATCCAGAACCCAAAAATGGACTCTTAAAAGTACCTAGACGTTTACCTGATTAACAAACTGGACTGGACTCACAACACAGAGGCTCTGTATTAGAAAGGTCAGAGCAGACTCTTCCTGCTGAAGAGACTGAGGTCTTTTGGAGTGCAGGGGGCGCTATATGTCTGCGGTGGAATCAGCTGTTTTCTGTGGAGTTGTCTGTTGGAGCAGTGGCTTATCTGTAGCTGAGAGAAAGTGGTTGGATCAGCTGATCAGGAAGGCCAGCTCCATGATTGGATGCCCTCTGGACTCAGTGCAGGAGGTGGGAAACAAAAGGACCGTAACTAAACTAACATCTTTACTGGATAATGTCTCCCACCCCATGCATGAAGCTGTTGCAGAACTGAAGAGCTCCTTCAGTGACAGACTGCTGCATCCTAAATGCACCAGGAGGCGTTATCACAGATCCTTCCTCTCGGCAGCTGGAGGGTTTTATAACCACCACTGTTCCCAACAACCTCAATAAGTTGCTACGTTCATGCGGATTTTGCAGTTTCTACCTTGGTCAGTCAAATAACATGCTGCTGTCATTTTGCACATCTCTGATGTTGCTGCTATTTTCAAATATCCATCACTGTAAAAATGTCCATAGCTGTATATTGGTTATTTGTTTATCTCCAGGAGCACCGTATTTGTACTGCTAAAACACTTTACAGTACAGTATTTAATTTGTCTATTTTTTATTTTTTCACTATTTAGTTATTCTTAAACACTGTTCTGAAGTCACATTTGTATTACCATTTTTTTTCTACAATCCATAATATCCCCAATGTGGGACAATAAAGGGAATTTCTATTGTATTCTATGTTGGATCAGCTGCCTAGAGACGGAGGACTTTCCCAGCAAGCATGTTTCAGCTTGTTCAACTAAGAAAGTTTCGCGAAAAATAATCAGTTCCACTGTTGTGATCAAACTGGTCAAACATGAATTTTCAGGTGAGGTTCTTTCACTTAACAGAATGTACCTGTCAGAAACGACAGAACCTATTCTGCAATAACAACAGATGGGTGTGACGGGCCGTTACATGAATTAAATCTTATGTAAATCATACTAAAGACCCAAGGAAATCTGTGTCCACCATTTTCAGATGTTTCATTCTTCTTGGCTTTCTTACCTTTGTCTATGTAGGCAGGCATGCTTGGAATAAACTGTTAAACAAATTTTAAATAGAAATTTTAAACACCACCTCTTATTAATAATGAGAAAGTATTTATATTACCTTTTTAATTGGGTGTAGGGATTATGTAGTCTAAAGTACTTTTAATTAATTTATTTACAGAGTTTTGGGTCTTTCGCATGACAAGGTTGCTTGTAAAAAATTAAGGGTTTGATCTGACATGTTACCATATTGGCTGTGTTTTTCTTGGGTTTGAGGCAGAAGTTGACTTTTTTCCTCACTGTCACACAATGCCGCTGAAAAACATAAAAGAAATACACGGTTTAATGAAAATGACTAGAAATTCATTGAAAATCACAATCATACTAAAACAGGCAAACGCTTTACATGTTCCAGATAAATATCTTTCATGATTTAAACAAATACTCAAAAAGAGGAAAATCAAATAATTACTTTTCCTAATCTGTCACTATTGAACTGCTACTTTGTTTAGTTAAAGAATACAAATGTTCCTATTAATTGGCTGCAAATGTTTTGAAAGAGCTTTAAAAAGTACTGGTTGAGACTGCAAATTTAGAATTTAAGTTACTGCTTAAAGGGGAACGCCGTTTTATTTTTACATTGGGCCCTTGATTTTACGTTATTACATCCTGTTCTACTCACCCATATGAGTTTTGTGTCATTTGGAGTTATTCTGAAGATATTCCATTGGGTTATATCCAAGTAACGTCCTCCTATGGGCAAACAACTTGAAGGCACAAACTAAACTGTTCAGAATTTATTATTTATGGTAAGCCAACATTCATAACATGTAGGCGAATCACTGTCCCCCAGACATCAGCGGTTATATTGTTTATATTTATATTTTTTTTAAATAAAGCAGCGCGTGTATGACGTCATCCTTGCGCGCCGGCTACCATTCATTCATCCTGTCAGCTGAACTGCTAGTTTTACTCACATGCCTGGAAGATGTCTAGTGCTACTACCACAGATGATCTCGCTCTCGAAATGGAATTGAACAATTCAGATTAGCTAGCCGAACGAATAGAAGGGGTAGAGCATAGCTGCCTGTGGCCTGGGCTTCCTGTCACAACTCCAGTCAGGCGTGCGGGTGACATCATACACGTGCTGCTTTGTTTAGAAAAATATATAAATATAAAAAATATAACCGTGGATGTCTGGGAAACAGTGATTTCCACTACATGTTATGAATGCTGGCGTACCATAAATGATAAATTATGAACAGCTTAGTTTGTGCCTTCAAGTCGTTGCCCATAGGAAGACGTTACTTGGATATAACCAAACAGAATATCTTCAGAACAGCTCCAAATGACACAAAACTCATATGGGTGGGTAGAACATGATGTAATAACGTAAAATCAAGGGGCCAATGTAAAAAAAATGGTGTTCCCCTTTAAGATATTAATTTTAGTAGGCAGTTTTTCAACAAAAATATTAACAGGATAAACAAATAAAAAATTATAAAGGCTTTGATCAAATGAATGTTTTTGGTTTTTTTTGTTGTTTCTTGTATTCATGATCCGGACAATGCACTGAGACAAAGCGTTGTCATACCATGAGGTGGGTGATTTTCCACGTCAGACTTCTCTCCACCTTTCATACATACTAGAATCAAGAAAAAAAAAAAATAATAAAAATCAAACAGCCACTTAAAATCAGCAGGTGTTGAGGTTTGTTCAGTAATACAGCTAATATATGGGTCCTTCTCAAAATATTAGCATATTGTGATAAAGTTCATTATTTTCCATAATGCAATGATAAAACTTGAACATCCATATGTTTTAGATTCATTGCGAACTAACTGAAATATTTCAGGTCTTTTATTGTCTTAATACAGATAATTTTGGAATACAGCTCATGAAAACCCAAAATTCCTGTCTCACAAAATTAGCATATCATGAAAAAGGTCTCTAAACGAGCTATTCACCTAATCATCTGAATCAACAAATTAACTCTAAACACCTGCAAAAGATTCCTGAGGCCTTTAAAACTCCCAGCCTGGTTCATCACTCAAAACCACAGTCATGGGTAAGACTGCTGACCTGACTGCTGTCCAGAAGGCCATCATTGACACCCTCAAGCAAGAGGGTATGACAAAGAAAGATATTTCTGAACGAATAGGCTGTTTCCCAGAGTGCTGTATCAAGGCACCTCAGTGGATAGTCTGTGGGAAGAAAAACGTGTGGCAGAAAACGCTACACAACGAGAAGAGGTGACCGGACCCTGAGGAAGATTGTGGAGAGGGCTGATTCCAGACCTTGGGGGACCTGCAGAAGCAGTGAACTGAGTCTGGAGTAGAAACATCCATAGCCGTCGTGCACAGGTCTGTGCAGGAAATGGGCTACAGGTGCCGCATTCCCCAGGTCAAGCCACTTTTGAACCAGAAACAGCGGCAGAGGCGCCTGACCTGGACTACAGAGAAGCAGCACTGGACTGTTGCTCAGTTTTTCATGTCATTGTGAAATCAAGGTGCCAGAGTCTGGAGGAAGACTGGGGAGAAGGAAATACCAAAATACCAGAAGTCCAGTGTCAAGTACCCACAGTCAGTGATGGTCTGGGGTGCCATGTCAGCTGCTGGTGTTGGTCCACTGTGTTTTATCAACGGCAGGGTCAATTCAGCTAGCTATCAGGAGATTTTGGAGAACTTCATGCTTCCATCTGCTGAAAAGCTTTATTGAGATGAAGATTTTTTTTTTCAGCAGGACCTGAAACCTGCTCACAGTGCACAAACCACTGGTAAATGGCTTACTGACCATGGTATCCCTGTGCTCAATTAGACTGCCAACTCTCCTGACCTGAACCCCTTAGAGCAGAGGTCCCCAAACTTTTTCCTGTGAGGGCCACATAACTTCTCCCTTCTCTGATGGGGGGGCCGGGGTCAGTTTGTAACAGAAAAATTGTGACGATTGCAAGAGTGTCTCAATTTATCACGGGATTTATGTCTTTATGATGGGATTCATAGTGTCTCCGCAGGTTATATTCTTTGAATACCGCCACCACCTCTTGACAGATGAGACAGACAGCCTTTTCTTTGCATTGAACAAAATAAATAATCGTTTGTCCAATTCAGGTTAAATGCCCTGCTTTCTGTATCAATTTCTCTCTTACCTAATGTTTTCGCCATTATTCAGTTCTCTTTACGGAAGAGGATTAGGGCCATTCAAAATAAAAAAAGTCTAATCAATTCTGACTTTTTCCTCAGAATTCTGAGAAAAAAGTCAGAATTGAATAGACTATTATTTTAATATTTTTCAATGGCCCTAATCCTCTTCCATATCTCTTTGAGGGGGCGTGCCGTAGTTTGGGGACCACTGCCTTAGAGAATCTGTGGGATATTGTGAAGAGAAAGTTGAGAGACGCAAGACCCAACACTGTGGATGAGCTAAAGGCCGCTATGGAAGCATCCTGGGCCTCCATAACACCTCAGCAGTGCCACAGGCTGATTGCCTCCATGCCATGCCGCACTGAAGCAGTCATTTCTGCAAAAGGATTCCCCACCAAGTATTGAGTGCATAACTGTACATATTTATTACAAGATTGACGTTTTTTGTATTAAGAACACTTTTCTTTTATTGGTGAGATGAAATATGCCAATTATGTGAGATAGCAATTTTGGGTTTTAATGAGCTGTATGCCAAAATCATCCATATTAAGACAATAAAAGACCTGAAATATTTCAGTTAGTGTGCAATGAATCTAAAATACATGAATGTTCAAGTTTTATCATTATATTATGGAAAATAATGAACTTTATCACAATATGCTAATATTTTGAGCTCCAAATGACATGTAGATTTTGGGTCTTTAAGTAAAAAATATAATTTCCCCTTAGAAAACAAAAAAAAAAAAAAATGACTATAGCAAATTATCATTCAAAATACAAATACCTAAATCTGTATATACAGTCATAGTTTAGTCTATGACCCATCCAGCTTTTTAAATCTTTAACAAATAATTACAATACACAGTACGGAATATAAGAATTAAAGAAATGAATGCTTTTCTTTATACTGTTGATAGGAAATCTAAACCAGATAGGAGTAACAAGACAGTACATCTGTATACAGATAAACGTATGAGCCTAGAATTTATTTGAAACTAACTGAAATGATGAATACAGGAACATTACCTAAAAACATATCAGATTACTTTTTAGGCAACTGTTTTGACAGTGATAGCTGCATCTACAAACATCTCATGTGTGAGGAAACTAGCTGCTTTTTTCATCATTTGAGTATATAAGTTATCTGTTAAAAATAAACAGAGAAGATTGTGAAAATGTTCATTACTTATAAAATGAAATTTTCTCCTCCACTGTCACTATATACATGCTCATGCTACATAATAAGCATAAAGCAAAAAAATGTCTATTTTTGCTACATGCTCATCTAGGAGGAACAAATCCTGCAATGTCAAGTACTGGATACGGGATTTCCTGAGATAGAAACCTTAAACCAATCAGTCTGTATGATTTGACTAAAATGTCTCTATAAATCACCTTGAAATGACAGGTATTTTTAATTGGGGGGTATATATATATATATATATATATATATATACACACCCCAATTAAAAATACCTGTCATTTCAAAATTTTCAATTTCTTTTTAATAATCTTTTTTTTTTTTTTGTTAAATCTACATGGACATATGTCATTATTAATTGATTACTGTACCTTTTTTAGTGTGGATCCAGAACACCAGACCAACAATAATTAAAATTATTAATAAACTGCCAATAATTATACCAGCCATCTTTCCGGTATTGCTCTCTGTAAGTGTAAGGAGGAAAACAGAGTTCAGTCTATATAAAAAAAACAACACCGTTGTAGAAAGAGTTCATAAATACTAACACTAAACATTTAAAAAACTATAAGTCAAACTTATATTACAATATTTTACAAAAATACCTCAATTAAATATTTTATTTGCTTTTATTTAGCAGTTCAGTCTTTACTAAGCCCTCTAAAGACTTAATGTTTCCAAAAGGAAAAGCTGATTTCTTACCAGGGTAGCAGTCCTTAGCCTGAAACACTGCAGATTCTTTAGAAAGTGGGTTGCTTACAGTACAATTGTAGATGTGATCATCATTAACATCTCCGAGGGATATTATTATCTCTGGTTCATGGTGTGAGTTTGTTTCAGAGCTCCACTGATATGTCAATAAAGACTGAGGATCATGGGATTTTGAAGAGCATGTCAAAGTGGCCTGGCTCCCAGATTTATCAGGACTGGTTGCATTTATTATTTTGCAAGATATTTCAGGCTTGGCCACTTTATCTAAAATAACACAAAAAAATAAAACAAGCCATCAGAGAAAAATGCATTATCATTTTAATTATACAAATTGTGTAACTAAAAAAATAGGAACTACATGTGAATTATTTAATTTATAAAAAATAATCTGAAGTACTTTCATCAACTTAACAGTAATCTAAAAACATTTTGAGACACTGAATTAAACACTGTCTTCCCCTTTTAAATTTGGCAACCAACATTTTCGGATCAAAGGTTGATTGCAGGTAACTTATTGATAGATAAAACTCCTTTTTATATCTGGACAGTCTGTGGGGAGTGGTAGAGTATACTCTACCACTCCCCACAGACTGTCCAGAATTAAATTATGTAATTTAATGTGGCACTATTGTAGCAACCAAACAACAAAAATATTATCTAAGGTCTAAATGACTGTAAAAAATTAGGAATGAACAATATTACAAAACAAAACCCTTACAATGTTACTAAACTGTGATACCATTACTATTACCCAACATATTCCTCTAGCCTTTTCTTCTGGTTTCTGTCATCCTTATCTGCATCTTATCTTCCTAAGCTTTAGGATCCCCACAACTGTTGCATTTACTTAGATCGATATTAGTAGTGTGGATAATAGAGGGTAAAAGGTCCTCTCAAATGGGCAAGTAAATTATTGGATAGGAGCTTACATTTATCACACCTGAACATTTAAATCATGCTAAAAAATTTAAAGTGAAATTACATTTTGCAGTAAATCATAGGGTATAAATTTATTTAACTTAATTGTAGGACACAAATCATTTACATGGGGCAGCCACACGTTTTCAGTGTCATTAAACTCCCCCATAAGCCACCACGTAACATCCTCACACAAGTTTAAGGGCATTAAGATTAAATTGCAAGACGTTTTGTGTGTTATTCTGTGATTAAAGTAATTTCATTCACATGTCTGCAAGCCTAGAGTGTACAGAAACCAAATTTCTTTATTTAAGTTTTAAGACTTAAGGATGATTTATAGTCACAAACAAGGTTTTCTGCGTGTGTGTCGCAGTGAATGCATATGTGGCTCCTCACCTGCTGCAGACACTCTGCTGCACCTCTCCAAAATTTTAGGCGACAGCAGAAAGTGCCGCAAACAGCAGGCCCGTGATTGGTCAAATCTACATCTGCTCTACACGGTGCGCATTTCCTGTTTAGTACCTTACGGGCTTGTTTTGTTTGTATGACCGCCATTGTGGAAAACGACTCGTGAAGTTTGACCAGCTAGAAGAGCGAGGTGCACAAGAACGCTGGGACCCTTTTTCCTCCTGGATCTCTGCTCTTTTTCGCCCTCATGTCCCTCCGTTGAAGCACAAAGTTGCCCCCACATCCTCACCGCCTCGGCCGCATCTTGACCCAAAGCTAGTTTGGGATTGTCCCTCTTGCATTGTGGTGTGGAATAACATAGCGCAGACCATGCTTAAAATTTGGGCATAAATCAAAAATATCTGCGACAGCTCACTGCGACACACTGCTGCAAGGAGTATAACCAGCCCTTTACCATAGTTTTGCAAGCATTCAAATGATTGAATCTGCTTTAACCCATTGGCAATTAATCTATATAATAACTATAGTGTTCCTACTCACTTCATGTCAAAATAGTATACATTTCAGTGCTAAGGGTTTCAGGGTTCCATGTCTATATTAGGCTAATTTGTAAAGATCTGTATCAAAAATTAATAACAATTCTACAGTATTCCAAGGGACCTGTAAAACACAATTATGGACATTGATAGATTGAAATCCAGATATACTCAATGATAAATAAAACTCACTGTGACACAAAACAAAAATGTCTAAAATTTAATGCTTTTTTTTTTTTTTTTTTTTTTTTTTTTTTTTTTTTGCAGATTCCCCATTTTCTTTATCCTGGCGGAGAAAATGCTAAATTAAGCTTCAAGGTTTGTGTGGTAATCTTTAACAATGCAAATTTTCTATAGAATAAAGACTAACAACTTTCTAATCAAAATCATGGTTCCTTTAGAAACACAGTAAATTAAGTGTCCATATAAACAATGCTGTCAGAAGTTATTGTTAGAAAGGTTAAAAAGGGCAAAAAAGAAGAACTTACCAATGACTTCCAGTTGATACTGTTTGCGGTCCAGTTTCTTGTTAATGTAAGTCTCCAGCTCATACAGTCCACTGTCTTCATATCTGAGGTTGCTTATGGTTAGATCTGCAGAATGCCAGTCAAGAGTGACTCGGTGTTCATATGACCCAAAGGCTTTCTGCTCGCTGCCATCAAACTCCACTACTTTATTTCCATCATGCTTCCACAATATTTCATTAGGTGGTTCTCTGATGTCAGTAACAAAGCTGACCGTTTGCCCCTGCAGTAAATATTTTGGTGTCTGTCCAGCAACTAAAAAGAAATTGTGAGAGAAGGCAAATAAATGTAAAAAGTTGTATATATAAAACAATGCTTTGTTCTGGAATTTCAGCAAAATATACTTCTGTCTGAGATATGTTAATTCAAACTTTATCAAGAACTATTGTAATACTAATGTAATAGTTTAACAGATTCGTATTCTTTAAAAATATTATGGGATCAATGTAACTTCAAAATTTTAAAACACTATGCACTTGATCCAGTTATCTCTTAATCAAAACATGTCACATAGGCTCTAATTATAACTTACATTATTAACAGCTTGCAAACATTCATGAGGAAATGATTACTTTTATTTGATATTAAAGGACTTTATCTTTAAAGTGTCTGAAGGTACAAAAAAAAAAAAAAATCACAAAAAACTAAAAGGCGCATTTAGTTTGCTTTGAACATTTTTTTTTTTTTATCCAATAAAAAATATTCCCAAAGAGAAATTAGATGCTGCTGTTACTGATCAGTTCTTCCTGTTCTTCATCAGCTTTATATAAAGTTTTGATGACATGATATTGACATTTTCTAGAATTGTATGTAGTCCAATATGTTAAGACCAAAGTTAATGTTATAGTTTCAAGGGTGCCCTAATAAAATAGCTTTTATCAAAAAACTGCTTATATTGAGAGGACTCTAGTGCTGCTTAGTGAATAAGGGGAGAAAACATGACTGATGTACACAGGGAACAACAGAGGTGGAACAGTGAGTTTGTTATGAAACCCTGCTGAAGTTTTCATGGATTAAGATTAAACTATGCCTTTGCATTGAAGCTTTTTGCTTCAACCGCAATAAGGATGGTATCAGTTCATTTAAGTAGCCAAGGATCTTGAGCTGCTTTGAAAGTAAGTTTAGTTGGTCAGATGTTATAGGAAGAAACGTGGAGCACTCCATGCGTGTCTTCTCTGCTTGGAACATTTTGAGATGGATGTTTTTTTATTTTATTTTATTTATTCCCTCATTAAAAAGAGTTTCTTGGTTGTTCAGTAAAACACTAACACCAACATGAGCTATTCCGACCCCTCCGGGGGGAGAGAGAGAAAAAAGTTCCAGCTTTATAGCCATGCTGTGATGATTTTGGGGTAAGGGAAATTTTAACGATAGTCAGTGAAGAGCTGGAGGCTGATGTGGAGGTTAAATAGGAGATTACTACTGTCTGATATTATGACCCAAAGCTAATTGTTATCAGCTTCTGTAATACCGAAGTCAGAACCTAACTTCATTATAATAGAGACCAAAATAGGGAACAGAATGCAGAACAAAAAAATATAGTTACACTGACTTAATTAGTTTTATTTTGTTTTCATCAAGACACCTGGACAGCTTTGATGAGCTCCGATAGCTCAGTGTGACAAACAGTTGATCCCAGGCTGTTCTCTACATCCAGGCCCCGTCAACACGAAGACGAGCCCTGGCCTAAACGCACAAATTTTTCACCAAACCAGCCTCTCATCCACACGAAGCAGGCGTTTCGGGTGTCTGTAAACGATCTATTTTTTATTCAACCTTCAGAGTGGGAATATTTCGAAACGCCGTTTTCGCGTTTCCATCTTTACGCTCTAACCGGATTTTTTTTTTTACACGCATGCGTCATAGCGTCGCCTCTAAGCACGCATGCGCGACCAGTATCACAACAACAATGGCGCCGTTGCTGCTAATGCTACTCACCCTGCTGTCGGGCTTACAACAGAATCTTCTTCTTCTGGAATATCTCCAGGAAGAACAGAGCAATATCGACGACATAGTTCAGCACCTGAATTTGACTGAACCACGAAAATGGACCCGCAGGGCAACCATGTATAAATATTAGTGCACATGCCCAACATTCCGTCGCTTATTTTTGCTTTGGCACCACAGCGCCACTTACAGGCCTGGCATACATTTTGCAGCGTTTTCATGCATTCGTGTGGACGCTCACATTTATTTTACGTCTCCGTCTTTACGACAAACGTTTTGGAAAATATCAGCGTTTCGTGTTCGTTTTGACTTCGTGTGGACGGGGCCCCAGTCTGTTCCTCTGCTTGGTTTTGGATGTGTGTCAAAGCTGAAGGTGAACTCAAACATATACGAAATACTTACTTTTTGGTTGATATAAGCTTGTTTAATTTTTTTGTTGGGTCCTCTGAAAGAAGAATAGATTAGAGCCCTATTTCATTTCACTACTTAAGAAATACAATATTTTAATGTACCCCTTGCAATGCACTTATGGACCACTAGGGGTACACATACCCCCTTTTGGGAACCACTGAGCTAGAGGTCTGTCTGTTTTGGAAGGTTCTGACCTGAACGGGTTGTGGGACAACCATCAGCGTTTCCATCCATCTCCATTACAGAATGTAGAGCAATATTGCCATTTAGACATTTGGGGGGCTGTGGGCTTAGCCTGAGCAAAATAAATAAAATAAAATAAGTGGCCTACTATGACTATAAAGCTAATCCCAGTGGGAAATTTGTCCTTTGCATTAGTCCCTAAATTTGTAAAAGCATTGATAGCCATGCCAGTCCAGGGAAAGACTGCTGTTCTACTGTAAGGTGCCACGGTCAAGGTCAATGACCAACGTACCTGACATGTAAAAACCATACTATGCATACTGCTTTAGGTTAGCAGACTGTATCAATCCCCCTTTTTTAACAACTAGACTACTGACCACCTGGTATGTCCTGCTGCATGATTTAGTTGCAAAATTACATTAAATCAATATCCCATCATCAACACTTTATGTTTCTTGCATTGCTGCTATTACCAAAAGAGAGATATCACACCCTCCATTAAACAGTATTTCTTTGTATGGGTGGTCTGGTTTTACTTAATTGACCCAACATGTTTTTGGTGCTGATCGCCTTCTTGTCTGGCAAATTGAAATTGGTGACAGATGGCATGTAGCTGCAGGGAAATAGAAATTGCCCTAATCACTGTAACACTTAAAGAAACACAACCTCCTCAAGAATTATAGCACATACAGTCTGCTCTGTCTTTCAGAATTTACTATTTTCTTCAGTTAAGCTTATTGTTTTCTAACTTCCAATGAAAGGCAGACTATACTTTCATTTGTAGAATTACTCAGATCACTCTAGTTGTCAGATTCATTCAAAGTTGGTGGACTGGTTTGTTTCTCAGTGAGGAAACATTCTTTCCATTGTGAATGTGGACAACAAAGGAGATGAATGAAGATTTCAAGAAAAGAAAAAAAAACATAAAAAAGGAAACACTACTGCAATCATGTGAGTATTTGTAAGAGAGGAGTACAAATGCATCAGTGTTCTTCAGCCTTAAAGCCTGAAAATGCTTGTCCCTTGTTTTTACACTAAGTTAAGCTTTGATTTAAACGGATTTTAGATTTCAGTCAAGTTTGGCAGTAGTTTAGATCAAACAATGTGTCAGAAAAGCATGCATTATCTTAGCTCTGGATCTATGATTCATTTTCTGTAACAAGGTGAGCATCCAAATCATTGTAAAGTATTTGCCAACTCAAACCATTTTTCTTCCAGAAATACCCGAATTTCACATCAAACATCTTTACATAGCCCCGGAGAAGCTTTCTTCTCCATGCTGAAGAAAGTATTACCACAGCATGATACTGCCATCACCCTGTCTTACCAAAATGTTTGAATTTCCAAAGTAAGTGCTGTGGTATAATTTTCGACCAGACAGCATTTTACAGAACCAACATGTTCAGTTTTAGTCTCCCCTCCAAGCACATTTTCTACACATTTGCTGCAGCCTCTACATGGCCTGTTGCCAAGTACTGCTAATCTCAATACAACTCCATTCCTGGCCCATGGTGAGTTTATTGGAGTTAAGATTACTCTAAGGATGGCACATAAATACAACCAACACATTATAGTCGATGGTAGATTAATGTGGTTTGTTATATTTACATAAGTAAAAGGAAACCTGATACCTAAGCCATCTTTAATGAATCATAATACAATGTATATGATTATGTACTCGAAACGACATAGAACTACTAAAAGTGAAATCAACACAGGTAATACAATTAGGCTAAACCAAGCTCGAAACTAAAGGAGTGTGTTATTCTATTGGTCTGATTTACAAACCACTGTCCTTGGTATACTCTGTTTACAGAAATACCAAGATAGTTTTAAAAGGAATTTTCCATTAAAGCAAAACTTACCCAAACAGACGCTAAGAGTGAAAAAGACGAGAAAACCCCGAATAGAAATTCGGAAAACACCTGGTGGAGTTTCAACTGAAGGCATAGTTTGACTTTCACTTTGCTTCAATCTCAAGTAGGCGACAGGAGAGGTTTTCCAAGTAAATTACGCAAGGATTCGTAAAATCTCAAACATTTTAAGTTAAGCCACTATGGGCTGGTTTGAAAATAAATCGTAGAAACCAATTTAAGTATAAATCCCAGGAGCTTTCAAAGGAAACACCTGCGAAAGATTTTCTACCTATCCACCTGAGCTTCCGGGCAGACTTTACACCGGAAATAGAGCAATTATTTCACTTTAACAGTGCTAACTTTGAAACACTTGCATCGGGAAAAGTAGTGGTTTAAAGCCAAAAATTGCGTGCCGAATATGTTCTTTTTATTTCTACTTTATTTTAATATAGTTAGCGAAATTTAAATATGCATTTTCTCAACAAGATAAAATAAAATAGGCTACTTTTAGTTTGAAAGTCTTCACGAGCGGATGATTTGATTTGATTTTTTTTCCGGCTGTTTTCCAGCTTTACTATTCGTCCTTGTCGGAAAAGATTACCACCGTTTATATTGGAAGATAAGGCTCACAAAAAGTTCCATCTGCAGAACCACTTTGATTAGTTTACAGACAAAAACACAGTTGTTGTTTTTTTATTCTACAGAGCACAACACTTCAGCTGCTATCATAGTAGTTTTCTCCACTTAAATCTATGGGTTTAAGTAAAACAAACGTCTGATTTTAGTCATCACATTTTTAAGCAACGGGGTTTTTAAAACATACCAGAATATCAAATTTTAGAAAATGATGGAAAAACGTAAATCTTGCAGTAATGATCTTAATAATGAATATTTTAATAAATAGGATGCTTAGAGAGGGAAATATTATTAATAGAAATCTTGCTATGTAAAAAAAAAAAAAAAAAAACAATAGTTTTGGGGATGTTATATTATTAAAACAGTGTTTTTAATAAAGTTGCACTATGATCATGTTATGTCCTAAGGGCGTGCCCAGTTATGAAGAAAAAGGCAATTGTTTTATTATTTATTTTAAACACATTTTACCAATGCGTTGTTTACAATATCTGCATGAAATTCCAGCATCAGATAGGCATTTGTGGTACAATGAACACATTTTATCATCATTGTAAGGCTGAAAATCAATGCTTTAGTATTTAACTTTTTTGTTTTAGTTGGGTATTCTCTTCTACATCAATAATAGTATTTTACAAAACAAAATGACTTCATATTTTCAAATTAATATTACCATAAGAAAGCGTATATCTTAATTTCTTATAAAATTTTGATGTTTTTCTTTGTCCTCCAATCTAAAAACAAAACAAATAAAACAGTTAGTCCCCAGTTTTACAATAAACCACATACGGTAAATGTTTTTATAGTAGCCTATTGATTCAAAACTCAAGTTTTCTTCAAAAGTTCAAGTGTGATTCATTACTCAGGACCTCTTTTTTAAAAGAAAGGGAAAATTGCTCTTTAATTAAAATGCTAAGATAAATTTCTTTTCAATTATCTAATGTGTTAAGATGCATTTTTAATGCTAAAGTAACATTTAGACATTGGTTATCCATCAGAAAACATAAAAGATAAAGATAACAAAAAAATCAAAGAAAATTTTTTTTTTTTTTAAGTTTGACTGCTTACATTAGTATAAACACAGCAATGTTTCAAAGTGGTAAGTGAATAAAAACAATGTACTTTTCCTGCTTCATTTCATTCTTTTCTTTGCTGTATCAAAAATAAAGTCCAATTCACCAAAGTCTTTTTCACTGGCACTCTGACGGAGGCGGGACTCTGTGAATGTGTGTGTAAGATTTCATGAGTGTCACACTGCCGTGGTGGGACACCCCCAGCGGTAAGACACACTCCTCTGTCAACACCCCTCGATCAACGTCCCAGCACATCACTGTGGAGATTACTTGGTTCTTGTTGTCCCTTCCCCCAGTGATAAAAAGTTTGTTGTTGCATGCCGCGATGGCACAGCTTGCCCTCTCCCCCAGACGGGTCACAAGAGACCAGGAGTCAGACAGAGGAGAGTAGCAGTACATGGCATGCATGGCTCCACCTGGAAACACAAAGATTTGTAAAAATGTATACATGCTACTGAAATCAGTGACTTCAGTCTTAATGAATCAAAAGCTTTTACTAGTTTTCGATCTTAGCTCATCAGTTTGTGTAATAATTGGACTATATGTGTTTCATTATGTCTCATTTTTAGTTAAAATGTGCTCCTGAAGGTTACAGCAAAGGTGCAGGGGTAGAGTATGCAACCTTTATACGTAGGCCTTAGTGTTTGACACCGCCGTCCCAAGTTCTCAAAAATCTCCACCCCCTTTCCTGTCTGTCTACTTTCAAAGAAAGGCCACAAGTGCCACCAAACTTCAAAAAAATAAAAATAAAAGAGGCCCTAAATGATTGTTTCTGTCCTTCTCTGCATTTATTTCCTGTCCTCTGTGCCTCCAACTAAATAGGATATAAATAATATGACTTGAACAGCCATTTGTTAATTAATGCCACAAATGGATTTCTGATTAAATAAAGAAATGCCTTAAATAACTATTTATACCCCTTGAATTTTGTCACACTTTCTTATGTAATGATAAAAACTCATTTAGCTGAATATGATAAACCTATACATAATTCTGAACTGAAAGAAAAATGTTAGACAGTCTCTTTTTGTGCATATAAAACTCTAAAAGGGTTAGTATGCAGCCTCTTGAGCTAACAGTGATTTACTGTTGCTGTCTCTCCCAGCTGTTCTCCCAGGGGTTATAATGTGTTTAGGATATTCATTTTCTGCTACATAATAGCTTTTGTATGTCGGCCAAATGCTAAAATTTTGTTCTCATATGACCAGAGGACCTTCTTTCACATGTTTGCTTGAAGTCCTAAATCGCCAGCGGCTAGCTGAATTGCAGCTGAAGGAAATCAAGAGATAATCCCACCTGAGCTGTGGATCTCTGTCAATCCTCCATAAAAGTTAGGTAGTAGATTTTTGGTTGAAAAAAAAATCTCATTGTAGGTTTGCATTTAGCCATTCCTTTTCATTTTTAAATAATCTGTTGAAGACTGCTCAGTAAAATGCTCAAAGCTCAGGATATAATTTTAAATTAATACGGCTTACAATTTCTCCCCAATTTTCTCCCGGACCTGACTTTGGCTGATTTAAGCTTCTATTTAGTGGTAAGAGAGTAAAAGGAACATAATGCACTGTTCACTTTTCTTATAAATATTACAAGGAGTCTCAAGATTTGTAATTTTGTATCTCCAATTCACTATAACGCAATATTTTCCATTGGCCAATCAGATTTTTTTCTTATTACAACATAGCTTGTTCCTGTAGTGCTGCAAAATGTGGAAAAACCTTAAACGGCAATAATCATTGTACTGTAATATACTCACAAAATGTAAAAGATAGAGGTACAAAAATATCCTGTCTACAAAAAGCTACACTTCAATTAATCTGTGAATTTATTCTCTACTGGGAAAGAGAATAAAACATATTTCAAAATTCAAACAGAATGCCAATAGAAATATTAATGCAATAATAGAAACAGCAAATGTTGACGCAAAAGATACATTTACATTAGGACTTTATTTTGATTAAGTGCCACCAATGTGTTTAAAAATGGATCCCTAGTTAGTTGAAATAAATAATGATCTATCTTAGGAGTTTCTGTAGGAAAAGTCCCTTGCAGCAGGTATAAACCTTGTTTGTTTACATACTTTTAAATGATGCTTTTGATATGAAATGTTTAGTCTGGTTATGTTTCTGGATTTGAAAGTAAGATGTCTCAATGCATGGACTCTTGCTGCTGTAAGATTTGCAGAGAATGTGGTTTGGCAAAGAGCCGCCAAGATAAGGGTTTGCCTTTCCTGATACAATGGCTGTGTTCCACTTTTGCAAATTTGCACGCTGGTTATCCTGTAGTGCTTATGCAAAAACAGAACTTCCTTTTAGGGGAATGCAGCCCTGGTTAATATATGCCTGTGACTGAGCTGCAAATAAAAATCATGATATTTGCAGTGAAATATCTCCCTGCCGACTTTGATATTGGGAGTCCTTTCTTAATAGGGACAGATAGTGAAGAATGTCCAAAATCAAATAGCCACATATTTTACATAAAAGATAAAATGTTGTCTGGGTGTCTATTTTGATTAGATACCAGATTAGCCAAATCTTGCATTACATAATTTATATTTTAGGTAGAATCAAACTATTTTTACACTTCACACTTACCCACAACGTAAATGCAGTTCTTAAATGTCACAGCATTGGTGCATTTGGTTTCGATGGGGATGGGCGCCCGCAGTTCCCAGCTGTCTGCTCCTGGTTCCCAGCACTGAACTTTATCCGTGGCTAGTTTTCCATTAGGCCCGCCACCAATCACATAGATCCATCTGTCAAAACTTGCTGCGGCGAAAGAGCTGACACCCACTGCGAGAGGTGTCACCTGTAGAGAAAAAATTAAAAAGGCTACTGAGCAAGAACAATTCAGTAAAATGAAAAAATGTGAAATAGATTGAGACAGAAGTCTATTTCATTCACTAGAAAAACGACCTAGAAATAAGTAAAAATTTCATAAATTAAGTGTATTTACCCTTGATTTGAGTAGGTAAATGAGATAGTTTAAAAAAACAATATTTCACCCAAATTTTAATATTTATTTAATTTTAATTCAAATTTCCATTTATCTTTTTGTTAGAAAATTAAAGCACACTTACTTAAAAAAACTTACCTTGATGCATATTCATTAATATACTATAGTTTCCATCCATCCATCCATCCATCCATCCATCCATCCATCCATTATCTTACACGCTTGTCCCAATTGGGGTCGCGAGTGGTGCTGGTGCCTATCTCCAGCAGTCAATGGGCGAGAGGCGGGGTACACCCTGGACAGGTCGCCAGTCCATCGCAGGGCAACACAGAGACACACAGGACAAACAACCATTCACACACACACTCACACCTAAGGACAATTTAGAGAAGCCAATTAACCTAACAGTCATGTTTTTGGTATACTATAGTTGATTTATTTCAAATACATAACTGTCAGGTTAATGGATTTGAAATTTAAAAAGTATATTTACCTAAAATACTTTTTATTTCAAATGCATAAAGGTCCTTGGTTTTAATTTGATAATAATCAGGTTACCTTAATGCAAACAAACAAGTGGATCTATTGAACAAATATTAAACAAAGATGATCTGAGAAATGAAAAAAGTCCTGTTTTATTTCTTATTTAGAAAAACAACAACTATCC